TCGCATAATTTCTAAAAGTTGGCTCGTAAATGCGAAAATATGTATTAAAAGGGTGTAACTATATGTAATGCTCCCCCAACTCATTACGGAGGTCCTCATAATGTTTTTTCAGAAAAAAACTTTCGGATGCTTCAAGGCGCTAGATCCATGGCCTAATACACGTGAAGAATTAAGAAAATCGCGTAATTTCTAATAGTTGGCTCATAGATTTGAAAATATACCTTAAAATGGTGGGACTATACGAAATGCTCCTCCAACTTATTACAGAGGTACTCATAAAAAATATTAGGTGCCAAAGGCCCAGATCCATGGGCTAATACACATTAAAAAACAAGAAAGTTGCATAATTTCAAAAAGTTGGCTCGTAAATGCTAAAATATGCTTTAAAAATGGTGAGACTATACTTAATGCTCCCCCAACTCATTATGGAGGTCCTCATAAAGTATTTTCAGAAAAAAAAATCTGGTGCTTCAAGACGCAAGATCCATGACTAATACACACGAAAAACCAAGAAAATCCCGCAATTCCTAAATGATGGCTCATAATTACAAAAATATGCCTTAAAAATGGCGGGAAAATACGTAATTCTCCCCCAACTCATTACGAATGTCCCCATAAAAAAATTTCAGCTGCCCCAAGGTGTTAGATCTATGAGCATATATACATGAAAAACTATGAAAGTTGCGTAATTCTTAATAGTTGGCTCGTAAATGCGAAAAATACCTTAAAATTTGTGGAACTATACGTAATGATCCCCCAACTCATTACAGAGGTCCTCATAAAGTTTTTTCAGAAAAACATTTCAGGTGCCCCAAGGCACCAAATCTATGGGCTAATACACACGAAAAAACAAGAAAGTCGCGTAATTCCTAATAGTTGGCTCATAATGCAAAAATATGCCATAAAAATGGTAAGACTTATAAGTAATGCTCCAACAACTCATGACAGAGGTACTCATAAAAAAATTAGCCAAGGCGCCAAATCCATGGGACACAAAAAACTAAGAAAGTCTCGTAATTTCTAAAAATTGGCTCGTAAATGTGAAAATATGTCTTAAAAAAATGTTGTGACTATATATACGTAATGCTCCCCTAACTCATTATGGAGGACCTCATAAAGTTTATTCAAGATTTTTTTTTGGTTGCCCAAGGCGCCAAGCCAAATCCATGGGCTAATGCATACGAAAAACCAAGAAAATCGCGTAATTCCTAAAAGTTGGCTCGTAAATGCGAATATATGCCTTAAAATGGTGGGACTATATATACGTAATTCTCCCCAACTCATTGTGGAGGTCCTCATAAAGTTGTCTTAAAATAATTTCGAGTGGCCAAGGCTCCAGTTCCATGGGCTAATACATACGAAAACTAAGAAAATCACGTAATTCCTCAAAGTAGGCTCGTAAATGTGAAAATATGTCTTGAAATGGTAGAACTATACATAATGAAACCCCAACTCATTATGGAGGTTTTCATAAAGTTTTGTCATAATTTTTTTTTGGTTGCCTAAGGTGCTAGATTCATGGGCTAATACACACGAAAAATCAAGAAAGTCGCGTATTCCTAAAGGTTGGCTCGTAAATGTGAAAATATGTCTTAAAATGGTGGGACTATACATAATGCTCCCCCAACTCATTTCGGAGGCCCTCATATTTTTTTTTCAGAATTTTTTTTACAGGTGCCTTAAGGTGCCAGATGGGTTAATACACACGAAAATCATGAAAGTAGCGTAATTTCTAAAATTTAGCTCAAAAATACAAAAATATGCCTTAAAAATGGTGAGACTATACGTAATGCTCCCCAACTCATCACGGAGGTCCTCATAAAGTTTTTATAGAAAAATATTTCGGGTGCCTAAGGTTCCAGATCTATAGGCTAATACACACGAAAGATAAAAAAATCACGTAATTCCTAAAAGTTGGCTTGTAAATGCGAAAATATGCCTTAAAATGGTGGGACTATACATAATTCTCCTTTAACTCGTTACAGAGGTCCTCATATAGTTTTTTCAGACAATTTTTTTGGGTGTCCCAAGGCGCCAGATCCATGAGCTAATACACACGAAAAACCAAGAAAGTCGTGTAATTTCTAAAAGTTGGCTCGTAAATTCAAAAATATGCCTTAAAATTGTGGGATTATACGTAATTCTCTCCCAACTCATTACGAAGGTCCTCACAAAATTTTCAAAAAAAATGTTCGGGTACCCCTTAGGCGCTAGATCCATGGGCAAACACATGAAAAAAACCAAGAAAGTCACGTAATTTCTAAAAGGGTTAGCTCGTAAATGCCAAAATATGCCTTAAAAATAGGGGGACTATACATAATGCCTTTAGGGATTTCTTTTAGATGGAAAACTGTCGTAATACTCGAGAGTAGTATATCAGAATCTTGTTGAATGCTTAAACACATGTTATTCTATTTTCAACTGAGATCACCTTTTGATGCAAAATATATTTTTGTTGATGAGAGAAACGAGATTAAGATAGTTTGGACATGTGAATATGAGGTGTGTGGAATGTGGATGCACCCATAATGAGTTGTAATATGTTGGCTATTGTAAGTTTTATAAGAGGTAGAAGTAAGACGAAGAAACACTGGGGGAGGTGATTTGACAGAACATGATATATCTTCATCTTACTGATAATAGGACCATAGATAGGAAGACATAAAGGTCGATGATTAGGGTAGAAGAGTAGTAAAGTAGTTCAGTATTGTCATACTTTTAATGTGGGATAGGCAAGGGGTCAGTCCCTTCTTCTAATCTTCTCTTATTTCAATGTAGTATTGTTTCTTATTAGCTTAGTATTTTATTCTTCACTTATCACAACTACTTGTTGCTTCGTTTGCTCTTTGTATCTTGTCATTTTGTAATTGTTGTTTTCTTTTTTATCGTTTTGTCGACACTTTTTTGAGACAGGGATCTATCGAAACCATTTTATCAACCCCACAAAGGTAGGGTTAGGGTCTGCGTACATCCTTCCCTCCTAGACCTCACTGGTGGAACTACACAAGACATGTTATTATATTATTATTGTTGGGACGACCCTTTCTAACTTGCAAGTTTCATTCAGTCTAATTATATTTTAAATAACTTATTACCAACATGGGATGGTTGGGATCTCTTCACCCTTTGATCAAGATCACGGGTTTGAACCCTGGATATAGAAAAAATCATATTGGGACTGTTGCGATTCGGATATAGTTGAACTCCAATGCGGGTACCGAACACCAGATGGAAAGTCAAAATGAAAATCTTTTAAATAACTTAATTATATAAATATTTTTCACACGATCGATCGATCTATGTAACCTAAACTCTTTCTACATTTGATGAAAGTGATGAGCTATTCTTATCCTCATTTTGATCTTTATCGAATCATCCTTGTACATTGCGGTTTAATCATTTGATATTCGAAATTTATTGGTTCGATTATATCGACCTAACTTCACTTAGTCTTGGTTATTTTTTTCACTAACAATTAGTCTAAAAATAAAACAAGTGATATCGCGATGGTTTTCTTGTCTTTCTTCTTAGCTGTGTGTCTAAATGACACCCCTATGCAGGGACGGAGCTACTGTAGCGGAAGGAGGTTCGGACGAACCCACTGACTTTTTCATAGAATCTATATTCATATTAAAATATCAAATAAAACGTACACATAAAATTCAGAACCCTCCAGCATAACGAGGTTGGTGGCCTAGCGGTCTCCACACACCCAGTGAAGTCATTCATTACGCATGTCGTGGGTTCAAAGCCCACTCATGGCACTAAATTTTTGGAATTGGAATTAATTTCAGATAAAAACATTGGATTTTTTTTTTTATAAAAAATAGAAAATTAGCAAATGATAATTTATAAAATTTTTTTGGGAAAATACATAAGTACCCCCCCCCCAGCCTATGCCCGAAATCCCAGAGACACACCTAACCTTTACTAAGGTCCTATTACCTCCCCCGCCCCAAACTTATTTTATATGTAATATTCTACCCCTTTTTGGCCTACGTGGCACTATCTTGTGGGCGCAACGCATGTTGACAAAATTTTCAAGGATAGTGCCATGTAGGTCGAAAAGGGGTAGAATATTATAGATAAATTAAGTTCGGGGGGGTAATAGGACCTTAGTAAAGGTTAGGTGTGTCTCTGAAATTTCGGATATAGGCTGGGGGGGTACTTATGCATTTTCCCTTTTTTTTTTTAAAAAAAAAAACAGCAAACCGGTATAGAAAATTGGCAAATGATAATTTATACTCCATATAAAATAAAATTAAAAAAAAAAACAGAAAAACGGTTAATGAGGAAAAAAAAATAGTGGTCATACTCTAAAACAATATCTAACTATTGATTTCTAGACATTCAAAAAATTTTAACCCAAATATATTTTCATTGATTTCTACTCAAATATTCAAAAACTCTAACCCAAATTTATTTTCAAAAGTTAGGATTCTAACTTTTATTGTTGATCTGATTTCTATCACCCAACCTCTGCCCTTCGATATGTACTATGTACTCCCGCCTCTCCTTTTTCATTTTTTTCTTATTTGTTTTCTTTTACACCTTAGAATTATCTATTCAAAAATCAATTTTTAATATTTTCTAGGGTTATTCCACATATTGATAATTGATTATAGTGAATAGTTGTTATTTGCTTTTCGAAATGGTTCAAGGTCACAATGAAACTAGTAAAATATATATTTTAGGTGCGAAAATATTAATGGTGAATTTAATAATTTTTTCTTACTTAAAATAGTATTCTAGATTATAATAAAAATGTTCGAAATTTATATTTAAAAAATTATTCATCTTTCATTGACAATATTTTAGAACTTTAAATTAAATTACTCAAAGCTTCATATTATTAAAATAAGTTTTTAGAATAACAATATCTAAGATAATGTTTTCAAACATCTCATTAACATAATTTGTGTTTTGTGATTTTTAAGATCGTTATCCTTTTTAAAATTTAGAACCCACGAGCTTGAAATCTGGCTCCGCCTCTGCCCCTATGAAGTTATTTGATAATACAAGATATGAAAGATTCAATTTCCTTGCGTGCATCTCCTCCGCGGCTAACAGAATTCCTGATCTTATTGCTCAACTCTACTGCCCTTTGCCTCATTTCGATCCCTTCTGTCGTTCCCATCAACTTGTTGACAGTTTTCTCAATGGTTGATGCTGTCACCAATTCCTCTTGACGTTCCCAACTCCTAACAGATGTTGCAATCTTCAGCAAGTTGGTTACAAAAACAGCGTTAAATGGTTGATCGTAATTGATTGGCCAAGCTGCTATAGGCACTCCCATGCTAATGCTCTCGAGACAAGAATTCCATCCACAGTGACTCAAAAACCCGCCTGTCGATGTATGTCCCAAGATTTTCAATTGTGGTGCCCAATTTTTCACCACTAGTCCTCTTCCTTCCATTCTTTCTTCAAATCCTTTTGGCAATTCAATCTTCTCCTCATTCTCTTCAAGTTTTTCGGTTTCTATCTTTTTATCTGCTTGTCTTAGTACCCAAATGAAGTTATGATTGCTCTGTTCTAAACCAAGCGCGAGCTCATTGACTTGCTCTTGTCTTAATGTAGTGGTTGTTCCAAACGAGACGAATATAACTGAGTTAACATCTTGCTTGTCTAGAAATTCTAGACATTCATGCTTCGTCATGTTGCTAGAGTCGCGTGATTCTAGCAACATATGAAGTGGACCAATAGCCCAATACTTCTTGTCTTTTGTATGTGCAAGTAAATTCAGGTACTTACTTTCGACTTCTCTGCACGAGTTCATGATTTCTCCTGAATTGAGCTTCCATTCATGTTCTTTTCTAACGAGTGCTGCTGCATATGGTCCACAACAGCTCTCCAACAACGGAAACTCATCGTGCATTTGTTTGATCATTTTTTCATGATCATCATCATCAACTAAGTGATTAATACTTTGTCGGAGCATAGAGTATCTTGCAAAAGCTGAAATGGCGTGGAACATATAAGACTCCACGTTTGGGATCAATGAATGAACATCCCTTATATGCTCCATCATTATGGAATCATGAATTATAACCAATCTCTTCGCATTGGTAGAGATATCAGTACAAGTTCTTCTAATGGGCTCAACGAGCGTTTTCATAAATATAATAATCGAAGGCAAATCATTGCCAGCATCAAGAGAAGAAGGTACCAAAAGGTCCTGAAAATGGATGTTTGAGGCACATAGACCACCTTGGACGCGAAGTTTCAAATTTTGGTTCCGATCAGCAAGGCAGAGGAAGTGTACTCGTATATTATGGGAAGCGATGAAACGAGCAAGAAAGAAGAGTTGATTGAGATGGCTAAAATCAGGAAATGGCACCATGGCTACAATCACTTCATCAAGGTGAGCAACATTGTCTGATGAGTTTGTAGACATTGGAAGAATAAAAGAAGAGAAGAACTGAGAAATGAATAACTTACAATGTGTTTGACAATTGTGTATTATAAAGACGGTAATAAAGACTTTTGAATCTCGTGATATTAAATATGTCATACATGGTGTTGGATTTATAGAAGGAAAGTAAGTGAGATAAATTGAAACGGAATTAGAGAAAAAAAGTCAAATGATAGACATTACTCTATTAATTTAAAACTTTCCATAGAGTTGGCTACACAATTCAATTACCTATAAAGGAGTGGGCACACAATTCTATGACCTATAAAGGAGAAAAAAAAAGGTGTTATATTCAAGTATCCCCAAACCTGTTGGCAAAAAATAAATACACAATTAAGCTATGTTGCTCAGATTCTGCAAAAATGACGTGTTTTAAAGGATCCGACACACACACTAGGAGGAATTTTTGAAGGATCCGAACGACAACTATTCTGAGTGTAGAATCAAGGAATTCATCATGAATGACATAAGAAATAGGAGACTAATTAACCATTAGTATCAAAAACATACTTCTGTATAGTCATTGTTGATTAAAAATTTTAATTATACAAAACTTGAAACCTGATAACAAGATAAAAGATCTTTTCTTGGTTGATATGGTCAATTGTTGCAGATTCTTGAAATACAAACTTTTACAAGGCACTAATAATCAATTTTATAATTGAATCGTACTACGGGACCATTTTCGTAAAAAGGCCAAAAGTACTACTAAACTCAGGGGCGGAGCTAGGAGGGAGCAAGGGGGTTCATCCGAATCCCGTTTAGCTGAAAGTTACATGGTATATTTAAGAACAAAATTATCTTTTATGTATATATAGTATATGTTGAATCCCCTTAGCTTCTTCGTGTAATTACTACTTTATTAGTGAAAATCTTGGCTCGGACACTGACTGTCTCAACTCAAAAGCCATAATAAGCAAAAATCTCAACATCTTGAACTTGCAAGCTTTTTGATAGCTGGATCAAAGCCAAAAACAAGCCATCACCTGTCCACCAAATCAATGCACCGTCAGATTTTATATACTTATTGCCTATGTTGCTAGGACTCGTCAAAATTGTCGACTTGTGCATGTAGGATCCTCCAAAAGTAGTGCATTTCGAGGATATTGAATAGGGGTGCGTGTCAGATCCTCCAAAAGCAGTGCTTTTCTGGAGGATACTGATCAGGGGTGCCACAACATTTTGGAGAGTCCGAGCAACATAGCTTATCGCGAGCACAATATTTTTTTTATAGCAACACAAAAACGCATACAGAGCAGTTAAAGAGAGTACCTCTGTTAGAGAAACTACAGATGGCTCATTTCTTGGATGGGACTTGATATTTTTCCAAGTTTTAATGTCAGATTGCATCAAATTTAGTTGCTCCTTGATCTCATATAACAACGTTAGCTCTTCGTGTCTGTTAGATTCTTGCCTCGTACGTTGTCTCTCAACTTCAGCTACCTCAAACGTTGTCCTATTGACAGGACGAATCTCTGCTGTTTCTGAAGCACTAGTGGTAGGAGAAGCAGCTTCACCTACTCTATGTAACTTGTTCTCATTCTGCATAGGTACTAAATTAAGTTGCTCCTTAATGTCATGTAACAACATTAACTCTTTGTGTCTCTCTGTCTCTTGCCTCGTACCATGTCTCTCGACTTCAGCTATCTCAAACTTCTTATTGACACGACGAATCTCTGCTGTTTCTGAAGCATTAGTCATTGGACAATTTTCCAAATGCTTTATAGGTACTAAATTTAGTTGCTCCTTAATGTCATGTAACAACATTAGCTCTTTGTGTCTGTCGGGTTCTTGCCTCGTACCTTGTCTCTCGACTTCAGCTTTCTTAAACGTGGTCCTATTGACGCAATGAATGTCTTCTGTTTCTGAAGCACTAGTTGCTGGACAAATTTCAAAATGCTGCTCAGGTACTAAATTTGGTTGCTCCTTAATGTCATGTAACAACATTAGCTCTTCATGTCTCTCGGGTTCTTGCCTCGTACCTTGTCTCTCGACTTCAGCTATCTCAAACGTCGTCCTATTGACATGACGAATCTCTGCTGTTTCTGAAGCACTAGTTGTAGGACAAATATCCAAATGCTGCATAGGTACTAAATATTTCTTATGCGAATCAGTTTCATCTTTAACAAGTTGTTTTTGAGCCTCCTTTCGGACAACAAAATCTTCGTCTTTAATGGCTCGAGGGACTTCAAAGACATCAAGAACATTCGGAGGAGAAGCAGAACGACTAGCAGCAACTTCGTTATCTGATTTATTCCCTCGATGCTGAACAAGGTACGTTTCTTTAAATTGCTCCAAGAAATTGTTACAAGAGCTTCTTTTAGAAACTGGTAAACTAGACAATTTCGCATAGTTAGCACCAGCAATCTGTTTCACTCTTTCTTCCAACTTTTCGATCTGCTCACAGTACAAACTTATACTCCCAGCCGTTGGAACATCATTCAAATCGCGTTTTGGACTGATCTTTTCGTCTTTAAGAACATCCTTTTTCATATTAGCATATTTCAATGTGATATTCGGAGTGGATTTACACCTCCCAATAGATTGAACAATCATTTTTCCTTCTAAATCCTCGAGATATTCGAGATCACTATCATCAATATCATCATCATAGCCCATACTCACAAGCTTATATCGATAAGCTTGTGCATGATGATCCAATTCATCTATCTCCATCTGTTTTTGATCAATAAGTTCTTGTAAAACAGATAATGATTCTTCAGCATGACTCATTTTTTCTTCTACAAATCTCTTGTACTGTTCTGCTTCCATTTCCTCTGCAGCCTTTTCACCTTGTAAACGTAAAATCATCGATAACGCTTCAGTTGCTGCACTAGATGAGGCTTCACTCTCTTCATCCAACTCATTGTACAACTTCTCTATAAGTTGTTCTTGAACACAAAGCATTTCTTGTAATGATTCTACGTCGAATCGAGACATTGCCTTGCCAATATCAGCCATCAAACATAACAAAAAAAAAAGAAAGGAAGAAAAAAACAATCTTGTTTATATCTCTAATAAGAGAAATGAACACCTTTCGTCGAAAAATTATATTATACAGGTCAAAATAACACCGTTAGCGAAATTTCTGATTTCACTACTAGCTAATTGATAATAGTACTATATGAATCACCTAAAGCTCCAAAGATTCAATTTTGATCAACCTATTGCACATCCAACAAGAAATTATCTAAAAATTTACATTTACATCTAGACAAAAAAGAGCAAATTTCAAATTTATTATTTTCAGGTATGAAGAAACCTCAAATATTTAAATTTATTTTCTAAGGAATCACAAAATTAACAAGAAAAAAAAAGTTATTTAAGATAAAAAGATATGTTATTGTTGATGAAGGATCAATGAAAATAGAAAAATCTCCACTAGAGGAAGATAATCAAATAGGCAAAGATAATATAAATTGATTTTCTTTCCTCTAGGGAGATTTTTCAGATCAAAAAAAAATTTGATTTTTTTTTATTATAATTTTTTCATGACAGTTTTGTTTTTGATTTAATTTGTGTTTTACAAAATGAAAAGTAAAACAAATCCTCTGTGAATCCGCATTTAGTGTTTACATCAAATTAAGTGATTTAAATATTAAGTGCGAATAATATTTTTTTTCCTTGTCTCTTCCAAATCCATATCTTAATAGATTTGGGCAAATATATCATTACCTTGAACACTAAGTTGTTGGATCGTTAAAAAAAATTGACGTGTGTGTCAGATACTCTAAAAGTAACGCATTTTGGAGAATCCGACATTTATGCGGTAACAAAAAGAAAATTGTATTAATATGGAATAATACATAAAGAAGACTATGTCTCCGAATTTAGAAAATTGTCATTCTTTTCGAAACAGACTAAAAAGGAAACATTGTTACATAAACAAGAACAAATAGAGTATCTTTTGCTCTTAGTTTTCATATATATGTTGTCTGATATCTATTTTAGAGCCTGATTAATACAGATTCACACCAGAAAAGTCTCACAATTTGGAGTAAAACCCTCTTTAATTATCAGAGGCGACTCCATTCTCAGAACTCAAACAAAGAGAGTATCTTTGCTTAAACACAAACTCACTTGGATGGATAATATAATATATACTAATTTAGAAATTAGCATACAAACTTAACCAACATATATTAATATGGACTAATTTCTCTTGTAACAAGAGGATTTAGTTCCAAAAAAAGGAAAAGACATTTGAACTTTTTTGACAAAATACTTAGACTTCATTGAAGATGATGAACTCTTTGGAGAAATTGATGATGTCTCATAATTAACTTCTTTATCATCTTCTTTGATTGTCTCCAACATCTTTGATGCTCTCTTTCTCATAATATTTACAAATTGTGGTGGTGCTGCTTCACTAACAAACCTTGCAATACGAGCATTCGACATTTTTAGTAGAGTGTTAATTAACTGAGACGTCGATAGAAAAAAATGATGAATTAAAAGATAGTAAGTGAAAGTGGTGTTTGAAGAGAAATTGGTTGTTAATGACCTAAGAAATACACATAGTGTGGAACTTGTATCTATATTAGTCTAGTTAAGAGCTACGTGATTATCTACGAGTTTCATATCTAGACTATCGAGTGTTCACAGAAACACTGCCCCCCCCCCCCCAACTACCTTATTGTGCTAGGTGGACCCCTTTTTAAGACTCTTTTCCTTTCTTATACGTCTCTCAACAAGTTATAGCTAAAAAAATTATTTTAGGTCATAAATTTAAATCTCAATAGTAATATTCATGCATTTTTTTTATCGTCTTGTTAGAATTTCTGACTTCGCCTTTGAATCTAGATTAGTTTATGAAACTATGCATGCTAAGGCTAAAATTGATTTAATTGTCTTAATGAAATGGTTTAAATTATTTTTAGAAGTTAGTGCCAGCGCTTGCTTTTCGTATTAATTGTATAGATAGAGATATTTACCTCTACTTCTAGATTTAACCACAATTAATGGGACCAATTAATTAATAATTAGGCAAAGCTATAGTATTAGGTATGAACTCGAATTCATAACTTGTTTTAGTTACAGGATTCACAATTAAATATCCATATATATGAGCCGAGCCACTATTAGAAATAGCGTTTTTCTCACCCCGAATCAATGAGAAATTTGTGTTATAAAATAGGATTTCCCACCCCCTATTTCCACCGAACCAGCTCACTCGAAAAAGACTGGTCAAAAGCAGATTCCCATTGAAATACTGGTATAACCACTGGAAAAAGATTCCCATTGAAATACTGGTATAACCACTGGAAAATTTTCTTTTCTAACTGATTCAATCAAAATATCTGTGGATAGACCACCGAAGATTTTTCAATGGGAAAATAGTGACTTTTTAGTATTGAGTATCAGTCGAAAATAGTCTTTCAATTATCACAAAGACAGGGGTAAAATCTATGTACATCTTATACTCCCTAGACTCCTATTGTAGCTTCGCCCTGGTTTCTAGGGATATGTAGGAAACAAAAAATATAACTTAGAGATATGGTGTTGTTGTTTCTATCGAAAACTTCCAAATTTGCACTTTATATCATTGAAAATAGCAAGTGGCTCATAAAATGCCACATATTCTTTTTACATCAGTTACCTCAACTGCCTGTTTCAAGTTGATTTATTTGGTAAAATTATGGCATTAAAGGCATGTGTATATGTGGTGGTGAGGAGGGGGTGGAAATGGTAAGAGTTATTGTCGTGTGATTAACAAGTTACAAATTTAAGCTGTGAAAATAGTAATATATAAGGTATATAAGAAATTTATTATGATCCAACCCTTCCTCGGACCTTGAGCATGACAAGAGTTTAGTGCACCATACTGCCCTTTTTTCTCGGATGTAAATTGGATGGCTAGAATTTCTTTGACGAACGTTAATGAATAATTTGTGTGTTCCTGTAAAGTAAAGTCGTCTTCATGGGGGGCACAAAACATGACGGACTGGAATCTTTTACTATAGTCGTTGGTCATTAGACACTTAATTCTGTCACAGATCTGATTCATTCAGACCCATTAAGAGATTTTTAAGTAGAAAAACAAACGCACTTAATGACCTAATGTCTGAATCATTCAAATTCAGACCTCCATTAAATGCAAACAAATGAGTATTGTATCTTCCTAGTAAAATAGAGTCGTCTTGTAATGTGAGAAAATATGTAACTCTTTGGGATTTACAAGTAAAAATAGCATCAATATTGGAAAAATTAACTCATTGATGATGGGGAAAAACTCCATTTATTGTATAGAAATAAAATTAACTCATGATACATGCATTTGTCTGGGTGAGGATCTCGTCAAACAAGCTGAGGTCGGCTATACGAGTCCTCACTGTCCATGTTTGTCCGATCTCATCAAACAATAATAAGAAAAAAATGAATAAATAGAACATGACCACTGTCAAACTTGTGTCATTTGAAATAACAAAATATGTATAGTTTGTCTAAAAGAATGGAGCCATTGAAGATAATTTAAGCCTGCAAAAAGCTGGCGTATTTGGCGCCTAAGAAAAGCCTCTGGATGCAAAGCAGGGCGTTTTTCGTGACCTCTGCAGTTCCGTGGTTCAATAGTTTCATTACCCGTTCCTTAGCTTTGAGGTCAGCCACTATGACTCGCCCGGCAGGATGGCACTGAATGAACTGTGACAAGTCATAGCAAGCTACAGCAAGTGTCCTTGCATCATTTGATGTATCCAAAATCGTCATGAGCACTCTCAAGATCTGCAACACAACACGACAATGATCACTCTATACACTCAGTACAATAGTCGTTGGACTGATTTATGAGTTAATGGTCAAGAACACGCTTGAACTATCACTATTTCGCGAGTTTCACACCTCAACTATCAGTTGTTCGCTTTCCCCACCCGAACTATCACCATCTATGTATTAAAACACACCTAGGCCAACTATCAACTATTCATTTTTCCTACCTGAACTATCACCATCTACTTAACTAGGTATGTTTTAATACATAAGCAAAAATGGAACAGTTGATAGTTGGGATGTGAAACTCGCGAAAAAGTGATAGTTCAGGTGTGTTTTTGACCATTTACTTATACACTCAATACAGTAACAGGGGATGAAAACAATAAACCTACAAAGATCACCACAACACCAGTGTTATTAAGAGTCATTGCTTCGGTGCTTAAAACATGATTCATGTGAAGCAAGAGGTTATCGCTTTAAAAATGGGTGCTAAGTAAATACAACGAGAACCAATCCACTTCTTTGATTCGCAACTTTGAGGAGTTAGATTAATATTGACATTATTGTACATTCGATATTGAAATTAGTTATTTTAGTTTCAATTTATCTTTACTGTACTAAATTGTAGATGTTTGATAGTTTTTAATTTACTGTAAATAGTACATTTTTATTCACAGAAGTGTGAGCTTCAATCCCTATGGACCTTGTCGTTTTTTGTGCTTTTCACTTCAAAAACACTTCACCACTCTATTGACTATTATAACTGATATATGTGGTTACTTATAATGTGTTAAGTTTTGGATTTCATTTAGCAAGTCATTGCCAGCAAGATTGTTGAGCAGTTACGCGACCTGCAAGATTTTTGTTTTTCTCACAGATAGGCACAACAGTAATGGTAATTTATGGTGTTTAAGCAAATACGAAAGAATGAGAAATGCCATAGGCAATACCTGAAAACCGTTCTCCTCGAAACAAGTTATATTTTCCTTCCAGAATAGAGGATCTTTATGCATGGGGGACCAATCAAGACTGCCAAGTAGGACTTCCTGCTTGTACTTATCATACGAACTCAATTTTTTGATGTTGGCCTTCAATCCTCCTTCAAGTTGATTCAGAGCGTCCAAAAGGTCCTAAAACAGATTACACGGCAAATTAGGGTGATGTCGATAAATCTGTGAATCTAGAAATTCATTTCGGCCAACTAAACCTTCTCGAACTGTTTCTTTTTAAGAACCAAAATGATTTGTGCCAAAATAACATATGCCAAGAAGAACAAAAATTCATTGGACACGTAATGGATCTTAAAAGTACTATTTCTGCATCTCCCTGACTAAATCCGCCTACATTAGGATTATTTTTAGGTGCAGGAAAAGAAGATTCATCCTCAGAAACAAGAAGTTCTGTCTTAAAAGGTTCACGATTATTCCATAGACATGTTAACATGATTAAGTACTGTCTAAACAGTCTATTATTTCAACTTTGGCGGAACTTCTTTCAATTTGCTTTTATTATACAGAAATAGAAAATAAAGTAAGATACTGTATCAAATTAAAAACCACAAAACCGTTCAATTCACCTCATCACTCCAAGCCTGCGCTTTCAAGCTCTGTACAATTTGCAGCACATCCAGGTCTACCATTTGAGCACCAAATGACCCTCTGGCAAGCAAATTCCTAAGAGTCAAGATGACAACTCTGACTACCTGTAGTCATTGATACATAAAAATGCCATGAACGATGATGAGTCAAATATACTTCATAGATGGATAAATAGAAAATGCAACAGATTACTGCCTAGAAATCAAATGACTGAAAACTAACTCAAGAAAAGTGAATGATGAACGTGAATGAAGGAAGTCAATCATGACTACATAACTAGCGGATAGCAAGCAGAAAAGATATTCTTCCTGAGTTCTTTCTAGGCATCCAAAGGAGACAGCTACATTAAGTTTAAGACATAGGGATAGCCAGTAGAAATGATATTAGAACAAATGGCAGCAAAAATAGCTCACCTTCTCCTTTGTCGAACCTTTAACAACTTCAATCAATCGAGGTAGGGCCCTAGAAGTAGCCAAGTACTCAATTGCAGGTTCGTAGTAAGACAAAAGCCAAATGCATAGACATGTCTCGTAGAGAAGCTGCTTTAAAGAAGAACAGTGAATCAGATGCATCATTGTTAAAATTGCGGAGAAACCGCTTTACTAAAAAAAGGTTGTAATTTGGCCTATGTGTAGTTTCTTGTCCTCCTATTTCTGCTATTATCTACTGTCGCTTAAACTTCAATTATCACACTATTATGTTGTAGTTACTGTTCCTTTTTTCCAGAATGCTTTGTCATACTCTCTAAAGTATTTTGCCATGATTTCTTCACTTCCATTATTTCTTTTTCGATCTGCTTTGGTATGCTTTCCTTGAGTCGAGAGTCGACCTCTCTACCTCTTATTTTCCTTCTCAACTCAAGGTGATCTAAATATCATGTCTACGACCCTCACCTCCCCGGAAATGCCTTCGTTCCACATCAATTGTACAATAAAATATATCTCGATTGGACTAAGGAAGAACAAAAAATCTTCGCTTGATGATTAAGACTGCGTACACTCTACCTCCCCAGACCCCACTTGTGGGATTACACTAAGTATGTTGTTGTAATTTGGCCCATGTATGGAAGACGGGTCAAAGATGGAAGCATGGAACTTTCTGTCAACAATTATGAGCTGCATGACACATGGAGTGAAATGACAACCATCTTAACAGTCACTTCCCAGCACGGCTACAGAATTTATGAAATTGGTCTAACATGTGGCAATACTAGTGTAAACACGAACCTGAATGGACTGCTGAGTAGATGCTGGTGAAATTAAAGGAACGAGCAGCTTCACTCCATCAGCTTGAACAAATGAACGTCGAACAACAGGCTCCTTCAACAGAGTTGCAAGACAATTGATTGCAGAGGGAATGCTACAACTAGGATGAGAAGGCTTTCTCAGCTGAAATGATACAGAGGAATCAGGATGGACAACAGTAACAAGTAATTGTCATATAATTTTATGCTTCTAGCAACAAGTGAAAATAAACCCACAACATCACACATATGCCCCTCCTTTTCTCCCATCACTTTATTGACTTAAAAATTAAGAAAGAATACCATAACAAGCAAAAAGAGACGGCATAATACATAAGCAAACACTCAAACTTGGCCTCAGTTGGCAGATAAGCACTCCAACTATGAGAGCGCACATCTAGACACCTCAACTTGGTCTCAAATGGCAAATAGACACTCAGTTGTCCCACTGTCTCATGGACACCCGATGCTGACGTGGCACATAAATTTTAGAGGTGTCTAGATGATTATTAGTAAGTTGGAGTGTACAACTGACACAGTGAGGATGAGTTGAGGTGTCTAGAGATGTGCATACTCATAGTGGAAGTTCTTACTTGTCAGCTGCGGCCAAGTTTGAGTGTCTGTTTATGTATTGTGCCAACAGAGAGAGACGCCACAATTTGAAAGAGCAAAGAGATTAGCAAGTACTACTGCAGAAATTCAATACCTCCTTAAACCATTGCAAATCCCCTTAAAATGTCTAGAAAAAACACCTCACGAATTGGTTAAAATAAAAATAAAAATTTGAGGTGGGGGGGCTGGGGGACCACAAGTGGAGGTACAAAGTAAAAGTGCAAAATATAGGAATGCAGATGAACCTGTGCGCATAGCCAATCCACTAGGCCATTCAGAACATTTTCCATAGTGGTGAGTGTCCTCTTTGAACTCGAGGCATCTCCATTTGCATCAACAACATTCTGAACATTTGGCCTGGCACTGGAATTACCAAAAAGAATAGAAGAACCATATGGAAGTTATCAGTAAATCGTCCTAATTTAAGTCTCTCGAGCTGAATGACATCATAGGAATAATGACTTTACTACCTCGCTATCAAAGAGAGAATCTTACAGCTCTTCTCTTGTATGAACCAATTACCTTTCCAAAGAAATCTGAAAGAAATAAACTCATCATTCAAAAAAAGAAAGGATGTGATGACGCAAGAAAACATACAATCTTCTGTATTTAAAAGATAATTATCGCAAAGAAGAGACTGCATATAGGCAGAACAGTGAATTTCAAAAGAACATACAACTCTCATTTTCCTGTTGAGCTATCTACATGTGCATTTGGATTTTGGATTTTCCATTTTCAACATTTGCTCCGTTAGAGCCAAATGACATATGAACCCACTGTTTAGTTTCAGGAGTAAAATCAATCTGGGATACATATGCATATATAATTAATCGAAGCACCGTAGGGTTGTTGACTTTGTTTTTGACTCCATGTTGCCTCCTAATATTTGGCATAGTTCAGAAAGTCTTGATTATGAACCTTACCACTTAAATAGATGCAGGGTATTAAAATCCTAAAGGACTATAGGTCAGTTTCTCCATCAATAAAATTTACCAAATTAACGAGAATTTATAAATACAAAAGATCAAGTGTTGACCGGATTTTAAAAAAGAGAAGCAGTTCTAGTGGATTTTGGATAAGGAGCACAAAAGAAAGAGAAAAGAACTTCGCCTTCAAAATATCTGATATTTTCAAACACTTAACTTGCTGATGAATCATCAAGAAATGAAATAAAATATAATTAAATGAACTACTGCTAACTGCATCTCAAACGTGAGGAACAGTAACTCTTCAGTGATCTTGTAAACTGGGCATTGAGATGATAAAGTATGAAGCCATATAAAAGTATAGATATAGGAAAATCCATATATCAACACGTGAATACACGAGGTCTCAGGTTCAAATCCCAACAGAAGCAAAACACTAGGTGATTTCCTCCCATCTGTTTTAGCCAACTTGGCATCTGTTGCCGGTGGGACGTGGCAAGTATCCCGTGGAATTAGTCGAGGTGCGCACAAGATGGGGCAAACACCACAATTATAAAAAAAACACATGTGAATTCATGAAGACATAGGATAAAGAGGGAGTAGTGCATCAAGCATGTTATAGAGAGAGAAAGGAAGAAAAATAAATCTAGGAGACAAGCTCAAAGTATAGTACAACAGGCACCATCACATCTGACAACAGCAGACTAAAAGTTCGAAAAAATACTTAATAAAAGCACCTGAGGAAAGGTTCATAAGTGTCTTCATTGGATAAAGAGCTGTCATGGAATAATCTCGCTCTTCTTGGGTTTGCTGCAAGAACAAGAGTATAGATTGGTCAATCTATCAAAAGAGATCTAAAACACTAAAAGAAAACATGAATCAGCATGGCTAATATGTTGCTAAATAGCCCATAGCTAACACGATTTTTTTGATAATCCACCACTAATCCGTCGTTATTTAGGATTAGCAACGATTTTTGTTGTTTAGTGACAGAAGTTGTTCGTTGATAATACTTCTTTTCTTTTGCAGTGAAAGATGCACCCCAGTTACCTGTAAGCATTTCATCAATTAAAGCTAAAACATATTCCACAGTTTCTTCCTTGAAGACATCTCGTAAAGTAGTAACAAAAACATGGATATAAGCTGGACCGTCCTGCAAAAAATGCTTCCAGTTTATCAATGTAGTAAAACTAAAGACCATTCTGGAACATCAAGGACGATAGAAGATTGAAAAAGAAACCAAAACTGAAGTAAAAATAGGTATTTCTTTAATTCATCTGTTGGAAACACCATTACGTACGTTCCCCACAAGCATATTGTATGTAGCTTACAAAAAACTTGAAAACAAACATCATCATCAACTGATAACTGAAATTATATGGACAACCCTTTTTTTATTAATGAATAACTTTTGATAGATTAACACCGAAGCCACACATAAGGAGGACACAGAATCAGAGACAAAACAAAAATAGGCAGGAATTCGGCGTGAGCCACCGCGGATTAGTAAAGATAAGATTAGTGATTGTACTATATCAACAATATCGATTGAAGAGAATATTTAATTTTTCTCCCAGTGAGTTCCGACTCATTTTTCTGGTGACATAAAAAGCAAACACAATATTACTATATATGAGACCTTCTCCAGATAGAATTTAGAAGAAAAATCCAACTAAATAAAAGAAAGATTAGGCAGAAAAGTTTCAGTGAACATGGAAGTAAGATGCATGAGCCGGAATTGGGGAGCAATTAACATGTAAATCATAGCTAAATGAAAACACAGAAAACGTTACATTATCCAGCAACTGAGATTTGTAGCTTTCAGCCATTTTATCATAACGCCTCAACAGCTGAAGATCTGTTCCTCTGATCAGTTTCGTGGTCATGTAAGTGTCCCATGGAATATCCCTCCTCAAAACCTTTAAACAGTAAAGCACACAATATGAGTTGTGCAGTAAGAGACACAGTTGATCACACTACTAGTTGCAGTTTCCTTTATTCCACCGCCCCCACCCACCCCTTCTTGTGGATATCATAACCCTACTGTGCAAAAGTGGGATACGCACTTGCAATGGATGTCTGGGTGTTGATACATATCATGAGCGACATGGAAATAGATCAAGTAATATCTTTCTTTAGCCAAGAAAAAAAATTTCTAGTTTGCATGGTCCAATCATTGATTGCGAAAATTTCTACAATAAATTGGGTAGATCACTAGTTTAGTTACCTAGCCACGATTCTACTATTTGCTAGAATAATCTAAGATGAATCTCCCCGATGGTTAAAATAGAAAGAGTAAATACGATTTTCAATCATGAGAATAGACAACTTTTCTATGTCAAATAATTCTCTACTACAAAGGCAACTAATAATTAAACTTTAACACAAGTCATGAACCTCGTGTTCTAGTCGTCCATTTATTGTTTCTTTTATTTACACAGACAAGCTATTATAGCCTTTGAAGAAGAAGAAGGTCAATGGATGAAAAAGAAAGCAACTAACTGCCACAGACCTAGATGTTCATTACAATGATGGTAGAAATCAACTTATTAGTACATAACTGTAGATTCATGACGATGCTTATTCATGCGAAAAAATACCTGCTCGGTGGTGAGCTCAGCATTTTCAATTGTCATTGTGATTATATTCTTCCGATATGAAAATCTTATATCCTCTAATGAAACAAGAAAATTCAGAATCTGTTGTTTCCTTCAACCTGTATAGAGTCCACATATATATATCAAAACTCTGACAGATAATTAAGTCATACATTGTAAGCAGATTCACCTAAAAACGGGATCATCAAATGTTTCTCACAAACTGAGTGAATTTAATTTTGAAAAACACAACAAAAAGAAAAGAAAAAAAAAGAGAATTTTGTAGAAACGAAATAACCAGATGTTTACAGAAAAAAATACATCATTTCAAGAGAAGCGTCACAAGAAAATGACTGTCAGAGAATCAATAGGCATATAAAGTGGGATACATAAAGTAATGAGAAGTTGGTGGATCAAAAGTTGACCTCAAAATCTCAACGATCAGCACAATCCAACAACATACCCAATGTAATCCCACCAGTGAGGTCTGAGGAGGGTAGGATATACGCAGACCTTACCCCTACCTTTGTGAGGTAGAGAGGTTGTCTCCAATAGACCGTCGGCAACGACCAGCACAATCCGAGCTCACTAATTCCAACAGATTATAATTTAATAATTGATCCACAAAAGCAAAGCATTTTACTCGTGAAGCAATACGCCCAATTTCTATCCAGTTCATTTTTTTCAACCCAGCCTTACATTCAATCAAACCCAAACTTGACATTTCCCCTCATGCACAACAAAGAAAGATTCAACCTTTTCTTTTTTTAAATCAAACTTAACACTCCTAGAGTTATCATTTTTCATTCCTCTCATCCAAAAAAAAAACAAAGAAGAAAAAAAGAAAAGACTCAACTTTTTCTTGTTCGAAATTCAAGACTCAACCTTTAAAACTAAGAATTAGCATTTTACATTGCTCTCATCCAAAAATCAAAGAACCAAATACTATCATCAAGTCAATTAACCGAAATTCGGATACATAAAGCAATGAGAAGTTAGCAGATCAAAAGTTGACCTCACAATCTTTTTTTCCTTGGATTCAGATTTCACCCCATTTCAAACAATCCCTACAATTCAAGCTCACTAATCCAAACTAACTATCATAAACAAATTGAACCACAAAAGCATTCATATTAAACGCTCATTCAAATCCAGAATTAGCATTAGCATTTCACAGTCCTCTCAAGCACAACAAAAAAAAAAAAAACTTTTTTCTTTTCAAGACTCAATCTTTATCTTCTAAAACACATTCATTAAAACCCAAAATTAGCAATTCTCATTCCTCTCATCAAAAAATGAAAAAGACTCAACCTTTTGTTTTTTTCAAGATTCAACCTTTAAAACCCAAGATTTGACATTTCACATTCCACTCAACCCAAAAAAAAAAAAAAAAAAAAAAAAACCAGTACTATAATCCAATCAATTAACTGAAATTGACATAAATTTCAAAAGAGATTAATTAAATGAAAATAAATAAATACAAATAAAAATACCATATGAAGGTGGTGATGAACAGAGGTGCCACAGATGGGAGTTGAAATCTGAAAGAGCCAAGCAGATAGATCAACCTTGAGGGAAAAAAAAAAGTGATTCAAAGACTTAAAATATAGCACATTTGGTCCTTTAATTATTAATAAATTTTGAATGTGTCCTTAAAGTTTGTCAAAAGCAATACTATTGGTCATCAATCATCATTTTACAAATTCTAGTTGTTAGATTTGGAAGTTTAGTTTGTGCATTTTTCTTTAAAAAAAAAATTATAAATACTTTTCGTGTCTAATTTAACTTTTTGGATGTAATTTCTCTCTAATCTTGTAGTTTTTAATGTTGTTTATGGGATTTGAGGGGATCTTCATGGTGTTTTCCGTTAAAAAAAATAATTCTCGATTCTCATTAAGTCAAACAACTCTAACTTATTATATAGTTGATAGAAACTAAAAGTGCTTACTTATGACAAATTTAAGGAACCAAAACTGACTTAAGGGTGTGTTTGGTATGAAAGAAAATGTTTTCCTAGAAAATGTTTTCTTGGAAAACAAGTTGATTTTTGACTTATTTTCTCATGTTTGGTTAGTGAGTAGAAAATATTTTTCAGAAAAGATTTTTTGTGTTTGATTTATGAATGAAAAATGTTTTTGAAAAATTTCTTTTATTTTTACTAGAGTAGAAAATAATTTTTGAAATTGAAAATATTTTTTAAAAACAAACTTAATTTTTTTTTTGGGGTGGGGGCTGATAGGGGGTGGGGGGGGGGGGTCGAGGGTAGAGGTGAAAAATTGAAATTTTGAAGTTAAAAATATTTTTTTTAAAAAAAACTTCAAATTTTTTTTGGGGGGTGGGGGGTCTGGTAGGGCGTGGATGGGGGGGTCGAGGATAGGGGTGAAAAATTGAAATTTTAAAGTTAAAAATATTTTTTAAAAACAAACTTAAATTTTTTTTGGGGGGTGGGGGGGCTGGTAGGGGTTGGGTGGGTGGGGGGTCGAGGGTAGGGGTGAAAAAATGAAATTTTGAAGTCGAAAATATTTTTTATGTCACACCCCTTTTTGCGCATAGCGGCGGAAGGGTTTTTCCAATTTAAGTGACGGTATTGATTTAGGGATTATTTTATTTTTTCAAAGTCGCCTCTTGGAATTGAGTTATGGTGTTCCAAGTCACCTTTTTCTTTTTAATCCCTAACCAAAAGGAAATGACTCTTTATTTTGGTCTGCAAACTAGAAATTTAGGTAAGGAATTCTGTTGATCAAGAGGAAGGTATTAGGCATCCCTCGAGTCCCGTGATTCTAGCACGGTCGCTTTTATTGACTTCTACTTAGTTTTAAATTATTTTGGATATATTTTATATGCTACAGTTTCACCCATATCTTTATTGTTGAACTTTTATTTGGTCTCAACCTAGATGCATAACCGCATTCTTGGTCTTGACATTTAGAGACATAACTGTCTTCTTCGCATCTCATCTAATAATTGTCTATAAGTCTTACTTTAAATTAATAAAAATTATTTATCTTTTTGAACAAGGTGCGTCACCGCATCCTTGAGTTTCTTTTACTGTCTCAAAAAAGATGTGTAACCACATTCTTAATTGAAACAAATATTTATTAATATGCCTAAAACTCATCTAGTCATTAGAAAACAAATATTCTTCATTTATACATAAAACTAAATAAAGTAAAATAAATCTAAATGTTGAGGATACAATATATAATTCTGGCATCATTTCTATATCTTTTATTTTATATTTTAATATTTATATTTTTATTACTCTTAAAGTTAATATCAAAATTAAGTATACACTTTCAAATCAAATAAAACAATAAAGAATTGTTAAAAATAAATATAATTTTTGTTTGATAAAATTAAACAACAATAATTTATTTATTTATTTATTTGTTTTTTATCCTAACTATACCTACTTTATCATTATTATCTGAATCAAGATAAGAACAATGTTATGACTCGTTTATTTTTAAGAGATCACAACTAACAATGGGAATTAGATAAATAAAAATAATTATCGATTAAATCTACCTTCATACATTAAATAGAGAGATATAACAACTAACAAATTAATCATTTCAATCAAACTAATGAATAAAACAACGTATAAGAAAACTTGTCATAAAATTACATCAAATTCCATAAATAAATTAAAGAGATAGGGAAAAGTTGAATACCGCAAAATCTTGACTGAACCTCGATTAGAACACCCACTAATTTTTGTAGATGATTCGTTATGGTATATGTGTTGTGTTTAAATAAAGTAGTAATGAGAAAGGAAGAAAATATGTGAATGTATTAATGAATATTTGAAAGAAAAATAAACTAAAACTAAAATGGATTTCCTCTTTTTCTTTTCGGTGGTCCTGTGTTGCTATGTTGTGTTGTGTGCCTTTTTTTGGTATGCTGTCCGTATGTGTGTGTGTGTGTTTGGTTGCTGATGATTTTATTTTTTTCGTTTTTGTGTTTCTCTCCCTCTATCTATATGGAACATGTATCTTGTAGTGTGTATAATATAGTAGTATATAGTGGAGTGTGGGTGTGTGTAGTGTGTGTGGATGTGGGGGGGAAGAGTGGGGTAGTGGAGGAGTATGTGGGGTGAGGGTAGGTGTAGTGGGGGTAGTGAGGTAGTGTGGGTAGTTTAGGTTATTATATTTATTAAATTAAATATATATATATAAAAACCATAATAATAAAATATTAATTAATTATTTTGAATTAATAAAATATGAGAAAAGTCAAATAGCTAGTCTAAAAATATAATTAAGAAATACTAGCTTATTTATTAAAATTAAAAGAAAACATATATTTTTTGTAGTTTTTCAATCTTTTAAAATAAACTTACTAAAATACGATGAAAAATAAAATATTTAATTTATATATAAAAGCAATATTTGTGTACTAAAAATGGTGTAATACCTTAAATTCGGTCAAAAATTATGTGTCTACAGTTTGCCCCTCTTTGACTGGAAACACGAAGAGTTTTCAGACAAAGAAGTAGACAACGTGACAAGTTTTGAACGGACTCTTATTCGAAAAGAAAAATATGCGACCGAGTCCTAGTTTTGGACATCCTACATATCCCGGGTTATAGGGGAATCAAGTCACATGTAGTTCAAAGAGATGAGGTGATGAGTTTGAAGTTAAGTGAGGTTTTATCGAGGCTCCAAGTTGCGGTTCCTATCCTTACATAAAAATAATGAAAGCTAATAGTCAAAAGGAAAATAAAAGTACAAGCTCCTATCTATACAACTTCTCTTGAGTCTTCACTTATGTTTTTACTTTCAGATATCACCTTGATTTTTGGGTGAGTATCTTGATCTTGAATTGGATTGAGGCTTAACTTGCCGCTTAGAGTGAGTTTCACTCTTCAAAATGACAATTTGAATATGTTCTTGAATGACTGCATGTTTTGTTGATCAGAAGCTGAATAAAAATAGATGTCAGGAAGTCAGGCTGTTATATGCATTGAAGAACCTAATTCTGACTATCATGAAATTGATCATTCTGAAAAAGAGTTGAAACTTTGTTCTTGAATTTCCAATCCATGTTTCGCTTGAAGAACCCTGAAAACCATCACAAACAAAAGAAATAAACAAAATTTTTGCCCCAGTTTTCATTGGAAAAATTTTGTGAGTTATTAGCAAATGTAAATTTTCAAAAATAAACTCAGACTAGGAAGCGTTTATCCTAGGAGAAAAAATAATAAAATAAAAAAAATGTCTCCGAATAAGAAGTGTTTACCTAGGAGAAAATAACTAAATCCTACTATGTAAGAGGGTCCTGCTAATCTAAATCTCATTATGTAGGAGGGTCCTGCTAATCTAAATCTCATTATGTAGGAGGGTCCTGCTAATCCCATTATGTAGGAGGGTCCGACTAATCTAAATTTCATTATGTAGGAGGGTCCTGCTAATCTAAATCCCATTATGTAGGAGGGTCCTGCTAATCTAAATCCCATTATGTAGGAGGGCCTGTTAATCCCATTATGTAGGAGGGTCCTGCTAATCTAAATCCCATTATGTATGAGGGTCCTGCTAATCCCATTATGTAAGAGGGTCCTGCTAATCTAAATCCCATTATGTAGGAGGGTCCTGCTAATCTAAATCTCATTATATAGGAGGGTCTTGCTAATCTCATTATGTAGGAGGGTCCTGCTAATCTAAATCTCATTATGTAGGAGGGTCCTGTTAATCCCATTATGTAGGAGGGTCTTGCTAATCTAAATCCCATTATGTAGGAGGGTCCTGTTAATCCCATTATGTAGGAAGGTCCTGCTAATCTAAATCTCATTATGTAGGAGGGTCCTGCTAATCCCATTATGTAGGAGGGTACTGCTAATCTAAATCTCATTATGTATGAGAGTCCTACTAAACTAAATCTCAGTGCTTAGGAAGATCTCAATTAACAGAATCATCAAATAAAATCACCACAATATTTTATCCCTTTTTTTTCTTTTTTTCTTTTAAATGTCTTATATTAGGAAATGTTTATCCTAGTAAAGAAATAAAATATAAATAAAATAAAATAAAAATAATTGTCTCACACTAGAAAACGTTTATCATAGGAGAAACAATGCAATAATTTTTTTTTTTTTTTTTTTTTTTTTTATGGTGGTCGATTTGTGGCATTAGCTTTGAGGATAGTTGCTCCTGTTGTTGCCATGTTTGAAGCTAATTTTAGCTTGAAATTGACTGCTTTTGTTTGCTAGTCAGCTCACCTTGATAATCTTGAAAACATCTCTAGTTGTTCAGAACTTCTAACTTCAAATTTGTTATACTATTTCCACCCTCCAACAATAATTGAACCTTGTATTCAAAAATTGTCAATTGCTGACAAGTTACTATGCATATCACTATTTCTTGAATTATGTCATGATTGATGGGCTAATCAAGCTTTGTTTTGTATAATTGAAGAGATGGTAGCAATTTTGAAATCATTTTCTGCCTGCTTAATGAAGACTATCTCAAGATTGAATTGAGCGAGATGCAAATAAGAAGAAATAATATTTGATCCTTTTAAGAAGAAAAATAAATAAATAAATAAATAAATGGATTCCATTGATAGTGGTGGTCAATTGTAATGATCA